TATGTAGTCCTGATATCCCTCGTAAATAGAGTAATTCTTGAGCACACGAGCTACGGACTTCCATGGATCAGTAGATGGCGCCAAACAAACAAGTGATGACCTTAAATCTTCACTCACTCCTCCATCAAGAGCACTTATTGGTCCGAGATATTTTGCCATCATGACTCTTAACTTATTCCTGGCATGAAATTCAAAATCATCTGGTATAATAAAATCAATCTCACTAACAGGAATTAAAGAATAAGAGTCAGGAAAATATTGATCAAGGAATGGAGGAGATGTCACCGCATTTGGAGATTGTTCACTGGATTCATTCACTTGCACCATTTGATGTTGGGGTCTCAATTCTTGCGCTTCAACTTTCTTTTCAACTGCATCTTTAGATTCTTCTTCTTGAGACTCTTGCAGTACCATATCATTTGTCAGAATAATTGCACTCTCGTCTTCCTCGTGGTCGATAATAGTCGGTGAGGGCAATTCTTCATAAATTGGAGAAATCAATTTGCTCATTTTAGATGCCCATTCACGCCTTCCTTCTTACATCTCTTTACTCATCTTTTGTGTCTCCTGTTGAAGTTGATGTACCTCCTGTTGAATTTGATATGTGTTAGTAGCTATTAATTCAACTATTTCTTCAAGAGACATACCTAACATGGATGACGGTTCTTGAGACTCTAACTGTTGTAAATCTATTGGTCTTTGTTGATAATTAAAATTGGAATCATCCCACCATCCTTGCTCATACCCATTTGAATAAGGGTCATACCATGTTTGAGACCAGGGTGAAAAATCTCCATAATTATTGAGTGGGACACTCAGATTATCTTGATATTCGGGGCACATACCGGTTGAATGATCCCTGGCGTAACAAATTTTACAGGTTGCAGCAGCCATTCTTTTTCTAATAGAGTTTAGTGCCTCTGAATATGCAAACTTAGCAAAAAAACAAGCCTCATTGCCTTCCCTGGAAACAAAATCCAATCTATCACCAAAATACGGAGTGTTAGCGGCCATAAACTAGTAAAGAAAAAAAAAGAAAAAAAAATAAGAGGGAAAAAAAATGGAAATGAAAATAAAATGAACTCAAAAAGAAACAAATTAAACAGGCACCAGTCGCCGGCAACGGCGCCAAAAATTGACAGGTGCCGAACCTGTGCAATAATAAATACCTACTCAAGAAAATTACAAATTTTGTATATAGCGGTGAGTAGGGTCGAATCCACAGGGATTGGGAATAATTCGTTTCTTCTCGAGTTCAGAGTATGGGGGGTTTTTGATGGGAGGAAAATAAAAAAAATGAAATAAAACAAAAAAAATTCAAAACTAACTCACAAAGCACAATTTACTAAAAATAGCAATTAATAAAAGTTCTACCCAAAGGATCAGCTGTTCAGGCACGGTCCAATTAAATGATCATCGATGCAAAGATATTTCATCCATTCATTGTGAGGACCCGTACTTTTCTTAATTGCACGTTTTCTGCATTTTCTTTATTAGAAAATTTTTCTAGATCAATTTTATGAGTAAATATGGTTTTTAAATAATTTTTCTAGTTTCGGTTACTTTTTGAGAAATTAAGAGCGTATATCGGACGTGGGACCCGCTAGTGTGGAAAATTCGGAAAAATTCGGCCAGTTCAGTTAAGTTTTGGATACTGGGTTTAGTTTACCGGGTGTTATGAGATATTTAGAGGTTGCCAAGTGGATTGGTGTAAGAGAGACAAAAAGTTAGGCAAGCAATTAATGAAGAGGACATGTGTCACTTGAGGATTTATTCTTACCTTTTTGACCTTTTGACCACTATTCATGCCTTTACCATTTAAACCAAAATTGACCCAAAATTCTTCTTATTTTGAAGCTCTTGGCCGAATTTCTCGCTAGGAACAAAGGAAAGAAAACTCTCTCAATTTTCAAGCTCCAATCTTGCCCAATCTTTCAATTCAACCGTTTAATCTTCAAATTTCCATAGAACTTCTTAGTTTGGTGATATTGAGGTTGGTTGTGGAGTTGTTTGGAAGAATTTGGTGCTAAGTTGCTTACTTTCTTGAGCTTGCAAGGTGAGTAACTAGGGAATTCTTTCTTTGATCTTGCTAATGTCAAATTAATGGTTTATGTTGGTTATAGATGTGATTTTATGGAAGAATTGGCACATGAATGCATGAATTTCCAGATTAGGGTTCCATTTTTCCCCTTTCTGCCCGTTTCTGTTTGACCGGGTTAGAAGCCAAATTGGCCGTAGCACAAAACATGAAAGTTGTATACAATGATGTTTCCTAGTTGCCTGTAAATTTTCAGCCCAATCCGAGCTCAGGAACCTGAGATAAGATGGAAATACCCAGACTGGTCTAGTAGGAGTTCAGGGAACAGGGTTGTCTTTTCACCCAATCTGACCGGGACTTTTGCACCATGATCCTTACCGAATTAGATTTTGGCCAAAACATAAAGTTGTAGCCAATAGTATAAAATAGTTTCCTACAAAATTTCAGCTTGATCCGACCACTGTATCATGTGAAATGACTGAAATACCCTTGACTGTTCATGAAACCTGTTTCGCGCCCATAATTCTGGTTTTGGTGTAGTTTTCCATTTTTGATCATGCAAATGCATGATTTGGCCTTGGAGGTCTTCATAATAAATGTAGGGTTGTGTTTTAGCTTCGAAACACCATAAGATATACTTCAATCGGACTTCGGTAGCCTGAGTTATTGCTGTTTAACAATTGTGCGGTTAGCCAACCTGTTTGTGAGTTTCTGGTTTCATATATGTCAATTTTGACCTAGTTGTACTACAAACTGGACTGAGTGGCCTTCTTCAACATTGTAGCCCTATCTGTTAGCTTCGGAACGGTGTATCTTGCACCTTCATCCGATAATCGTAGCGCCAATGGTGCCAAAATCGCAAAATGGTGTCAAAAACTGTTTTTATCCGGAAATGTTTTTTAGCTTGATTTTTGTATTTATATGACTTTAAGCCTAGTGAACGGCTTTTGGACATGAGATTATTCTATATGAGATGTTGGGACTGTTTTGAGGAAAATAATGAAGCCATTAATGGCTGGAAAATAGGTAAACACAAGGGACATGCCGTCCATTTATCTTCTTGTAATGTGAACAAGTTAAAGTGATTTTGCGAATGTATTTTGTGACGAATTGGACGTATTTACTGAAAATGTTACCGGCTCTTTCAAAAGGTGGCCGAGGGCTAAATTTCTATTTGAACCTGTATATTTCCGCTTGGCAAATAAAATGATCATTTTACCATTCTAAAACCTAATACCTCTTTAGGTTGGTTTATGAACCCTAGTAATTCCCGTCCACGAATCCATATGCTCTATTGACACTTTAAAAGTCATTTTATACGTTTACTCGCGAGTAGTCGGGTAATCCTTGATTTCATCCAAATCATGCTAGATGGATTGTAATGTGTTCTTTGTTTACTTTTAGGTTTCATTGGTGATTGAGAAGTGGACGTTATTTTGCGTGTATAGGTGAGTGTTCCCTGTTTGATATGTTTCATGATTTTATGGCTGGTATGAATGATTGATAACATGTTATATGCTTTCAGTGATTGTTAAAACGAGTTTTCTAGGCAAGTGTGTACTTTATCGCACTCGGCCTAAACGATTGTGAAATTTTCAATGATTGAATGATTGAAATGTTATTTGTGCATGAATGTAAGCCTTTTGGCTGAACTGGCCATTGCCCCTTGTTACCGGTCGTCTCGAGCCAGAAGCGGACTCGGTTGGGCGATTAGGGACCTGGGTGAACGTTTTGGTATACTCGAGTATTACCTTGTAGATTGGTGGAGGTTGGTGGAGCCTGGTGAATGAATGAATGAACGAATGAATGAATGAGGGTTTTACTTATATACAAATGCATTTTCAAATGATTGAAGGTATAAGGGAACGAAAGGAGAATGAATGAACGAATGAATGAACGAATGGCTCCTTGTGAGCACGTATCCTTTTAATGAAGGTGTTTATCGCTTTCTTTTGTATTTGAATTATTGGTAACATGTAATGAATGCTTTGAACTTCTTGTTGCCTATGTGTTCGGAACCTCACTGAACTTATAGCTCACCCCTTTAGTTTGTTTTCCTTAACAGGGGAAGGCGAGCAAGGACGAGAGCCGATATAGACTAGCTGGGTCTAGCCCTTGGTTTTCTTTTGTCATGGTTCTCGCCCTAGTGCTTGGCACGGGCTGGTTGTATAGTGATTTGAGAACCTCTGTATATTTGACGGTTGTACTTCTTCTTGAGATATTATTGTATATACGTTTTGTTTTAAGTTGGATCGTGGTTAGATGTTCTTATGGTTGCTTGAAGTGATCGACTGAGTCCCGGCGAGAGCTGGGCAGGCAGTCCGCCGAACCCTTTGGTTCGCCTTAGGGGAAAGTGGGGCTGTCACAACCATAATTAGGTTGGTTAGATGTTCTTATTAGGTTGGTTATAGTTATCAACAAGCTCTGACAACCAGTTCTTCCTTACTTTTTCGACAGTCAAGGTACGACCATTGACTGCTTCTCTAACCAGATAACAACCCTAGGTACGACCGTAAGAATTTAATTACCCAATTGCATTGAAACTAGAAGAACCCAACCCTAACTAATAAACACGCTAAGAGAGTTTATTTAAGTTAGATCTTACGTTTTCCCAACATAAACCCAATTATGGTGGTTGTCACTAGGTATCGACTAAACGAACAATTACGGATTCAATTTAGTTAATATGACAGTAGGCTATTAAATTAAATCAAATACCCGGCCGTTGATATTCAATTAATAAAATACCCATGAACAATTAATTCAGGAAACGTACGAATAACAACAAATTGAAAAAAGTAATGAAAGTTTGATTAGATCTCACAGATGTTATGGACCGCGCCTTCGCGTTAACCTTTGGGTAGAAGAAAAACCTAGCTGCTCCTCATCGTATCAATTTTGCGTGGGTTGGTTGATTTCATCCGCACAGTCATCAGCGAAATTGGAACGATGGAGTAATGACGAAAAGAAAGAAAAGAAAACGTCTTCCTTGTCTTTGCGTTAATGTTCGTACTGAAGCCGAAGTACAACGTAAAAACCAACGAAAATTGTACAGAGCCAAAGCCAAAGCCAAAGAGTCAAAAACGTGAAAGCCAAAAAGCAAGAGAAGAGTCTACAACGTCTGACGGTTAGGGAAAAAGAAAACTAAAGCTATCTAATTCCTAATACGTGAATCTGGCTTTCTTTTTGCCTTTTGTAGCCGCCGCCAGCCAAAGCAATTAGGAGCAGGACTTGTCTATGGGTTTTAATCCCACGCATCTGGTTCACATGGACCTAGTGCCTTAATTGGGTCTCCTGCTATTGGTCCCGCGGATCCGGCTTTTCGAGAGCATCTACCTTTTCTGGCGTGGCCACGCTCTGAGATGAAGGGTCTTCTGGAAATTTGCCTCAAGAGATTACTTTTAACGCCAATCATCTGTAATTCATACAAATATGAAATATGAGCAAAACCTCAATACTTAGCACAGTAAGTAGCTAAAATTAGGACAAAATAACAGTGCAAAATGTGCCAAATAACCGCTCTATCAAACAGGATCTGGTTCAGCAAGGGATCGTATACCAAGGATAGTAAGCAAGAGCTATCAAGTTTAATGTTGATCTTTGAGCGTAAACCTACTGCAAAACATAGAAAATCAAACTTAAGAAACTCGAGACAGCATATAGTCAAGAATAAAGCCAGCACATGGTTGCATGACATTTTTTTGTATTTGAAACACTAAAATAAGAACTTACCATGAAGAGAGGAGCAACCCAACAAGTGTAGAAGGCAGAATGAGCTTAATAGCCTTCATCACAGCTGATGAAATAATTGCAGCAAGTGGCAGCAGCCAACAAGTACGCTTGGCAGTCTCAAAACTTGCACTCTAACAATTCTGTGCAGATTCACTGCATGAATAGTATATCTTCCGTGGCTGCTCCCAAAAACATTTTCATTATGAGAAGATTTCTCAAGTTTTGGTTGTAATATGTTCAGAATCAAAGTAGTTAAAAGTCAAATTTGAGTAGTAAAAGAAGAGTAGTATATCTGAATTTACCAGACACTACAACAAACACCAATTTGATGACCAACAGCTCTGAAAACTCCTGAAATCTTTCGTACTAGAAAATCATAACCAAGGAAAAGTGACACATAAACCCATCATCTACGAGACTTATCGAACAAATCACTAATCAAATGGTTCAAGAAGCTTGATAAATGAGCCTTCAAGAGGCGATTAAACTTTGGAGCAACTATTTACTTTAGCAATCACGTCTTACATCCACAAAAGCAAATATATAAAATCAACAAAATTAAACTTCTAGTGCTTATTTCATATTGATGGGTAACTTGTAGGAAATGCAAAACAAAAATTAATTAATACCAGCTATAAAAATCTAATCTAAGTTCATCTAGGGGAGAGACCTCAAAAATCTGCTTGTTAAGTGCAGGAGAAAGGAGCTCAGTAGAGAATTGGGGGTTTAAAGTCTTATAGAAAAGGTTTGTAGAATTGCTGCTTGTGGTATCAAATCTAAAATGTCCAATGCATTTTCAACGTGTGAAACTTCAGAGAGATCAATCACTTCATCCTGGTGAAATCACAAGTTTACAGAGAGTGCACCGATGTTAGCAATCACAGTAACTGATATGCATGATAAACAAAACTATGCAACTGAAAAACGTGATTCAGTTAACCCAAGAAAATCTCGGTCACTGAAAAAAATATGCAACTGAAGCTTTAAGTGTAGTACTGAAACATGGATGGTATTGAATTGGACCACCATTTGCCATGTTTGATCTTTGCAACAGCGAATGAGATGTGATACAACGGGAGAAATACCAATTTGACATTTTAAATTAACCAAAATGATTGTTTAGTTCCGTTAGTTTAGATTGGTATGGAACCGTGCATGGTTTATTAGTCGTAAAGGTTATGAAATATTGCACTTATTCATGATAAAGAGTTACTTGGCAGACCTACTCTGTTGCTGCTCCAATTATCACTTGATATACTTCAAAGGAAAGAAAGGACTTTGAAAAGTAAAGGCGGTGATTAGGAGCCATCAGGGTTCCCTACAGAGCTATAAACCTACAGCAACTGCAAAACAGAAAACTCAGACTCAGGACTTCGCATTAGCAAATCATGAGGCAAACACGAAATTGCATGACATTTTTGTCTAGTCAATTATTCAGAAAGCTAAATCAATATTTGTTTTTTTTCTTCTTTTCTAACGTAAATCAGTAAGCAGGTATCAAATCTTTCTGTTCAGTCCACAAGTACCAGAAGCATCACAAAAACTATATTAGCTTTTGTTCAAAACACTGAAAAAGAAAAGTTCTATAACAATAATGACTGGTACCCACAAGCAGGAGAGGCAGAGAGTCCTAGAATTGCCATAAAAGCGAACTATTTGAGACTGCAAGATGCAACAAGTAGAGCTAATAACTCAAATCATTGCATTTGAACTTAAACTTCAGAAGAGGATAGTCTACCAAGTCTCTGCTGCTTGAAAATGTCTTAAACATGACAATTTTTTTAAGGTTTTAGTTAATGCTTAAACTGCTTAAAACCCAATATTAAGTAGTGGAAGAAGATAGTTGGTATTATAAATTATCAGACCACCAATCCCACAACCAAGGGCAGTGAGAGTAATTCGATTGACCATTGGATTTAGGTCAAGAGATCAAAGCTGAAGAAAGTAGAATCCCATCATTTAAGAGACATAATAAGAATACCAATAATCAGATAATTTGGAGCAAGATGATAAATACATTTCCAAGAGATGGAAGTTCAGAACAAGCATAATTTGGAGCAAGATGATAAATACATTTCCAAGAGATGGAAGTTCAGAACAAGCATTTCCATCCCGGTAGAATCTCGAGTTTAAAGAGAATTAGCTCCTTTCAGCAATCATGTTTAACAAGCATGAGCAAAAGTAAACTGCTATTTTTTATTTAAAACAAAGAATTTTGTACCGTAGATGAAAATACAAAAGTTTTCAGCTTTGACATCATGTTTAACTGTCCACATCAAATAATCTCCTCTTGAACATCTGTATTCCATAATTGAATTTAATATATGGTTAGCGATATTGTTTTCTTCCCGGAACAACGCTTGTTGGGTTTTTTTGAATCAGGCTGAAAAGGCCAGGAAAAGTTCAACAAAGTAGACAACTGACCTTACTGTTACATTACTAGACAACATCTTGGAAGCAGACGTTTTAAACATTCAGATATTTTGCAACAAAATCATCTTATTGTACAATTTCTATCACCTGATATTGGATAGATTTAAAAGAATTTAGTAATGATTTCACTGGAGTATGTTGTCCTGCAGAAACAATAAACTAGAAATTGACTCCTAAACTCTTTGTCCATCATTGCCTATCTATAATTTTCTGTGTTCCATCAAACCTTGATTTAACAATCTATTTCATGAATGTAAATGCATTATCATTCCTTTCTAGCAAATTGATAACCAAATGAACTTTCAGAGTACTTAGTTGGATGAGGACCTTTTAGATTGAAAATCTCAGGAAGGTAAAGATAGAAGAGCAAATTCCATGTCATATTTGAGCTAGGAATCTTACAGAAAGAAAGGGTTTCTTTTTGTTACCTTTGTTCTAAAACTAATGAGCAGGAAATAAGACTTGATACCAAGTACATCTACTAATCCATTTAAAACAAATTCGCTAACCTTACAGTACTTCTTGAAAATTTGCAAGCTCCTCATTGTCAATCTGTTTCTCTAGTACAAGCTCTATCACCAACCAAACCCCCCATGATCATTAGCAGAAATTCATGGTAATGATGACTCTTGATCTTGAAAGACATTACATAAGCTGGGGAAAGAAATTCTGGTGGGCAGTTTGCAGAGGCCAGCTGACAAAGATAGAGCATTTTATCAGGTTTTAAACACCAGGAAGAAAGAAAAGTGTGCCTGTAGTGTGCCATCCTAATCATTTCTGTCCAATTGAAACAGGATTTGATTCAACAAAGTTTTCAAAAGTTACAAGCTGTGCAATTCAATCAATAAGTAAGTGCAATTGTAGATTCTAGTTCACATTTGAGCCTGAGATCATTGCAGAACAGAAAACTCGAGTTGAGACAATATGTGAGCAAATGTGAGCAAGAAAGCTAATCAGCAAGTTCAGAAAATTCAACAATAATTTTGTTCTGTCATTCCTACAAAAGGCTAAAATATGTCTTGTTTGTATGAAAATAAATAGATAAGCAAGTACTAAGTCATGTTTACAATTACAGTATTTTGGTTCCAACCACAAAGCAAGTAATTACAACTCATAAAAAGAAAATAATAATGGACAATTTGTAGTGCAGGCAAAGCATTTCACATTGAGGCATTGAGAAACAATAGAGGTGTGGGCCACTGAGGCACAATAGAGATCCACATTTAATTGCTACCAAAACACCAGTTAGTTCTAACTTCTAACTCTGAGCAGTATGCCAGAGATGACAATTTGAGTTCTAAAACATGTAAATCAGCACCTCATTATCATGACTACACATCACTGGATCGTTTGGACAGTTTTAAAGAACCATACCCCAGTGGATATCTCAGACTTTGGACATATGAGGCACAGAGAAAAAGAGAATGCCATCCAGCAAGGAATTGTAGGACTTTGAAAGAGAAATCGATGAGGTTCCCTGTTAAGCTTTGTGCCTAAAATCACTGCAAAGTACAAAAACTCAAACTCAAGATGGCGTTCAAAATAGAATAAAGCTAATGGAAATTTTTAGATAATCGCAGGTTTTCTGTCATTGTGACTAAAGCCCCAAAAGGAGAAACTTACCATAAAAAAAGAAGCAACCGACAATCATAAAAGCAGAGAGAGCTTAAAAGCCTCTATCATTAAGATCAGCAAGTCACAACAAGCAAACTTGAGTTGAATGTTGGAAGATACTCCACCAAGTTTTGTGCAACTTCATTGCCCAAACAGTGCACACCTTCCTTGGCTACCTCAAAAATATCTTCGTGACGACAAGATTTCTCTTATTTTATATGTAATATATTAGATATTAAAGTGGTTTAAAGTCAAAATTGAGCAGCGAAAGAAGAGAAGCATATCTAAAATTATCCGAATTTTTGAACCAAAACATGAAAGTGATAACCAACAGCTGCGAAAACTCCTCAATTGACCATTGTCTTCATGGATAAAAAGCCAAAATCAAGGAAAAGTGAGCCAGAAAACCATCATATATGACTCTGATGGAGCAATTACTACTCAAATAGTTTAGATAAGTATGCAAGTTCATTATCAAGAGACGAGGTAAAAGTTCAGTCCCCTTAGAATCAAGATTGCCTTCAATAACCTCTTGAGAGATGAAAGTTCAGTCCCCTGATTGAATTTGATCCAAAGATGAAAGTTGGTTATTAATCAACTTATGCATAGGTCTTGAATGTGAGAAACTTTGGACCACTGGGAGTCGGGGCCGCTGCTCTCAGGAGTGCATCTTTCTTTTAACAGAGGAGAACCATAAACCTCCAGACGTTTTAGTTTGGTGAGACTTCTCATGGCATCCTCAGAGGGTAGATGTCCAAGCTCTTTGAAAAACCATAAGTGCACGTCTTCAAGAGCCGCAAAGTTTTCGAACCAATCTGGCAGAGCTTTTATACCTCCAAAGACAAGTAGCGTTAGTGACGTGAGAGTGGTCAAGTATTGGATCTGAGGTGGCAGGGACTCCATGTGTGGCAACCCAAATAATTCTAATTCACGGAGTGCGGATGACGAAGAGGAGGAGGAGGAGGATATCAATCCAGACCAATCAAACTCATTGTAAATTGAAGAATTTTCGTGATCATCACCATCATCTGAGAAGGGACCAATTACAAGCTTTCTTAAGCTGGTTAGGAAACCAAATCCTTTGGGCGTCGTACTTGTTTTCAGTTTGGGACACTTCCATAATTCCAGCTCCAAGAGAGAAGGCATTTGTTGCAAATCAAGCGGAAAGGAGAAAAGATTGTAGCAATAAGTCACCCGAAGCTTCTGGAGAGAGGCACACGAGTGTTGCATGTCACCGGGCAGATTCGTCAACCCACCGCAATTTGTAATCACTAGCTCTTTAAGAGACGTAAAGTTTTGCAGGGGAAGGAGTTCTCTGCATCTGTTGCAGCAATTAAATGTCAAACTCGCTAACTTGGGGAGTGTTGTTGCTGTTGGCAAATCCATTAACCATCGAGGAAATTGATCACCCATAAAATTCTCAATTACCAACTCCTCCAAATTTGGGTGGGGTCGAAGGCAGTCCAACACTTTTTCGTCGTTGTAGTTATGGCCTTCTCGATGCCAAGGCCGGGCCCACTTAAGTCGCAAACTAAATAGATTAGCCTTTCAGATAGTTTTGCTTCTTCAGCTCCTTTCCTATCCTTTACTAGATGAAGATTGTGTATCTCCAAATTGCCTTTGAGGTTCTTCAAGCTTCCAAGCTCTCCAATTCGTCGACCCTTCTCTCGACCCACTTTAAAGAATGCTAGCGTCTGAAGGCAAGTCAGTCGTCCCATCTCTTAACGGCATTTGAAATTCTTCATTATAGGTGTAATAGTGGAGATGTCTCAAGCTAATCAAATCGCGCGTCCCCTTCGGCAGAACCTTAAGAGCCAAGCTGTTTAGCCTCAGTGTCTGCAAATTATAAAGTTTGCAAACAGATTCCGGCAAAGTTTCGCTTTTAGAACCCTCAAAGTTAATGTACCTCAAGTGTATCAGTTTGCCAATTGAGATTGGCAGATTCTGATTTTTTGCACCGGACAAATTCAAAACGTGCAAATTCTTCAACTTCATTAGCATATCATCAGATAAGCTACCCTGACTCAGAAACAATGTATGAAGCAAATTTGATCCACTCTCAAAAAGATTTATTGTGTCTTCTCCAAATGAGTCTATTACAAGACAACGAACCTGATTACTATTGTCTCCTGAACCAGTCTCCGAATTAATGAATTTAGTAGACTTTGACATTATTGATTTTGAGACTTCGTGCACTATATCATGCATTTTATAATACCTTCCCCAAGCGTCTCTTATTTCTTCCAGCAAAGAACTCTGCAATAAAATTTCCAAGTAATATTCTCCAATTTCCTCCATTGTTTTGTTCTCGAGACCTGCATGGAGGAAACCTTCTGCCATCCAAAGTTCGATTAGCATATCTCTTTCCATCTCAGTATCCTTAGTAAACATAGAACAATATGCAAAACATTTCTTAACGGCTGGTGATGGTAAACAATCAAAACTCAATTTAAGTATTTCCATGACACCATCTCCACCTGCACTCAAACTCGAAAGCCTATTCTCCAAAATTGATGGCCACTCTTCTTTTCTCTTTAAAGATAATAGACCTCCAATTACACTTGCAGCCAATGGTAGACCATTACATCTTTTGATTATTCTCTTTTTAATTGCTTTTAGTTCATCAGGTTCTTCTTCCCCTCCAACTACTTTTTCTTTTACGATAGACCAACAATGATCATCAGGTAGTTTTCCTAATGGATATGGTTCATTTTCCATCATCCCCAAAACTCGAGACACACTATGTGCCACTGGACCTAAACGAGTAGTGACCAGACACCAGCTTCCATTAGTTGGATTGAGCCCCTTCAAGGTGGTGAAAAAGTTATCCCACAATGCACGATTATCATCCCACACATCATCAAGAACTAGGAGATATCTTTTTCCCCCAAGTTGATTCTGAATGTCTTCAACGATGACATTCCTATCATCCACTTCAACTTTTCTTTTCATCAATTGCACTAACATGAGTTTGAAAAGTTCCACTACTGGAACTTTTTTCGATACACAAACCCACAACTTTTTCTCAAATTGCCCATCAATTTGCTGATTGTTGTATATCGATTTAGCCAAAGTTGTTTTGCCTAGACCTCCCATACCAAATATGGGAAGAACAAAAACTACCTTCTCAGATGGGCTCAACAATATCTTCAATATGTTTGATTCATCATCGGCTCTTCCAATTATTGGAACAAGAACAGAGTCAGTCTGCCGATTTCCTATGTCTCCAACAGCAGGAGCAGCAGGGAGGGCAGCTGTCATCACTAACCTACTAACCAGTCCCAATCCGTTGGCTTCTTGATTTATCTCCTTCAACTTCAGTTTGACGTCCCTGACCTTAGAAGCCATTCTCCAACGAAAAGCAAGATTAATGTTGAGAAGGAAAAGAAGGAGAATACCTTGAGCTTGGGTCGGTTTCGGGACTCCACCTGGTGACGAAGAGATTCATAGTAGAGCTCATCCAACACATTCTGAGCATCATAAGCCACCTCCTCGAGACACTTCAACCATCGTTGCACTCCTCTGCTTTGGTTTTGCCTTTCCTCAGCATCAGCCAGGACATCTTTGATAAAGCCGAGAGAATGTGTCATGCTGGCCACATCCTTCTTGAACCCAACTAGCAAACCAATCCTATCAGAGGCAAGAGACAGTGTCGTTTCCAATGTGACCTGTATTGTTGAGCTGATAAGAGCGTCAGCCATTTTTGCTGCCTTGGATTCAGTGTTGAGAACAAGATGGTTTTTTTTTTATGGAAGGTTTTTTGCAGCGAGGAACTGGTAATCTTATCTAGGCTAGTATAATTGGTTATGAAAAAAGGAGCATTAATAATTTTTCCGCGTAGACGTGGAGTTCTTCTCTGACAAATTTGTAAGCTTTTGCATTGGCGTGTTTACAGAGTAACTTTCTCAATTATTGTAGTTGTTGGGGCATCATGTTTTCTGATTAAAAGGTGGGGCCTTCAGAATTTTTGGTTGTGGACCATATTTGTTTTTGTCCACGATCAAATCGTAAAAAGGAGAGTGAGATTCTGTTTTGGTTACATGCATGTCATTATTGTTAATCCTTGGAAAATGAATTTATGACATACAGTATTTTGGTCCGAATTTTGTTCGGTTTTGGGAAGCGACCACACTGGGAAGCAATAATGTTCTCTGTTTTCGCACTAGCTATGACGCATTTTGCTTCTTGGCTTTTAAATTACCTTTTGTACTTTAGCTAGAGTGTTATTTGAAATATTATTTGAAATAATTACTGTAATACTTTTTATGATGTGATATATGTGAGATAAAAAGGTGGTTAAGAATATAAAAGATTGAGTTGAAAAATGTATTTATGATGCAAGCGAAATATTATTTAGAATAATATGGATATCCAAACAAACCTATATATTCTCTGTTTTCGCACTAGCTATGATGCATTTTGCTTCTTGGCTTAGTAATCAGGCTTGAGATTTTAAATTACCTTTTGTACTTTAGCGTTTCAAACATATATATAACATGATCGGTATGAAACCCCTAGCCTTCTACTCCTCTCTTTAAAATCTGATAGTCTTTAATTCAGATCGGTATTAATCTTTTTTGTTATTTTATTTCTTATTACTTTCTTTTTCTAGTTGATTTTGGATCCTTTTTTTATTACTTTTCTAATTTTTTTTCTTTAGCTTTTGCTGACGCGTATATTGGTTTCTCCTCAAACTGGATGTCTCTCAATCTCTCTTGTGGGAATTCAACATACTTTAAGATGAATTTCATTTTGCCATTATCAAGTTTGCACTTAAAGAATTAAAGTTCATATGGGGCTAAGTCATACTAATTTCATATCTTTGACATTTATTTATCACAAACCTCAATTCTTCTTTCCTCCAGTGTTTCTTTTCTATATCAACTCTCCTTAATCCCATTATTGTCTCACAGCATAATCCAGAAAGTGTCAGTATATAAGAATTCTTTTGAAGTAATTATTACAAATATATAGTTCCCGTTTCTTGTGGAATGTTCTGAATCTTTCCTAAAGAAACATTTTCCAATTTGAGTTCCAGAATTGTTGCAAACTTTTTCGGTTTGCGCATCACTTTGCATGTAAGAATTCAAAATTTCACCACCAATTAAATATATAGTTTTCCTCGCAACTTGTCCCATTTGGATTGCTATTTTTAGAAATTTTTTGTAGAAAAATATACTGTAGAGATTTGATATATGTGAGATAAAAATGTGATTGAGAAATGTATTTACAAAAAAAATGTTAGTTTCCTTTTCTCTTCTATTTCGAATTTCTCCCAACTTATGTTTCCTTGTTGCAAATCTTGCCAAACTTTATAAGATATGTCTTATCAATTTCTTTGATACCTGAAACACTAGAAATTTCTCATTCCTTATGTGTATTCTTGTTTAATTATTTAATTTGGTTCCTGAAACACAAGAAATTAGTAAAGAATTTCGATCCAATTTGGTGCAACGCTTCTTTGACAAATTGAATCTGATGCTTCTGCAATGGAAGTGTTTTTTTTTTTTTTTATAGCAACAATAACTTTCCTACAACCTAATCTATTCTATTCTATAGAGAGGGGGAACTTAATTTATTCTATTCTACAAGAAGGGAAGCCTAAAAAGACTATATAAGGGAGTTGATATACATACCTAATTAGATCGTATTTTGACGCTTTCTTAAATTTTTTTTCATTATGTAGAGTTCGAACTCCACATTTACGATCCAAAAAAAATTAATCTCTTTTTTGTTGCCGCTGAGCCAAATCTCCTTTGTTGCCGGGATTCTTCAGCTGCCTTTGATCCACATTCCACATGCTTGTGTGTGTCTTGGGGGGGGCATCGGATGTGGAAAATTCCACCCAAGAAGGAAAAGAAACGTGTTGAATGATGAAGAAAAGAAAATGGCAATCATCATTGAGACTCTAATAAATCTCACTCCTCAGTTCTTGGGACGTGAACGTACAATTAATAATTCCATCTAAATTGCTGATCCTAAGTGGATCAGATTTGAAACATATTTTATCCTTTGGGGACTCCTTAGTTTGTTTGCTTTCTGCAGGGGATTATGCTCCAATTTCTTTAAAATCCACAGACCCCCAAAGTTCTCCATTTCCGTGCTAGCTATGTATTTTCCATTTTTGTTTAGTTCAAAATAGCTAGAAATTTACAGTGGATGCTTTTGTTTGCTCTTTAACCACCGGTAGAAAGAAGTGCTGCAGTAGTACATCTTTGACAAACTTGGATGCCATTAATTGCCATGGAGAAGTTTGCATGCCATTATTGACTTGGCCTTTATTGATCAATGCTTGGCTAGGTATTTCATCTTTTTCTGATTGAAAGCTGGCTGGCGCCTTTGGCTGTGGAAAATATCTCAATGGTTTGTCGGAGTAGTGGTTTGACCCAAGACTGACCCCCGCAAAAAAAAAAAAAGAAGAAAAAAAACTATGTTCAACGATAAAAATGTAAATGAGAAAGAAGAAATGACAGCCATAGCTGGTGACTTTGCAACATTAATTGCCTCAGTCATTAATCCTTGGGAAATGGACTAAAAACGTTATTTTGTGGGGGAAAAACTTTAATAAAAAATAATCCGTGGTTCACTTATCAAAAACATGAAGTGGAGTTAGCAATCAGGTTTGGCATGTAGCGACATAATTGGCCAATGGTTGGGTGCTTTCTTAGCTTTTACACTTGTGAAATTGCCAAAATAGTCACTCGTAATTCCACAAGCTTTCTAGCACTTTAAAAATTCAAACATTTTGTTTCAAAATGTCTTGTTTATGTACAGCATACAAAATTTAAGTGGTGAAAGTTTAAGGAGTTTCTTTATTACTATTTCTTTTTTTGAAGTACAATGTACAATCAATTGAAGTTAGAAGTGAAATAAACCTTTAGTTCACACTATGATTATAAAATTTGACTGAATTGGATGTTTTGGGAAGGGGGAAATGAGCGTGTTCTTGCGGATTTTAATTTTTATAATTGAATTATTTGCCTATGATATGATCACAAGTTTAACTTAAATAGAGTTGCGATAATAGAAGATTCTCGAAAGAAGACTTCAAAAGGTGGAAATTGAAAATGAGTGGAAATTAATGGGGAATTAACCAGTTATTTGGATACCTATTTTTGTATCCGACTCTTTTATAATTAGTTTTTCTTATAGTTTTTCTCGTTCCTAACAAATTTGAATTATTTGTTCTTATGGTTCCTCTCTCTTCTAACAATATGATAAATTTGTATAAATTTTTTTATCCATATGGATTAACTTAGTGTTAAAAAATTTTAACTGTTAGCTGATAGATTTATCAATATTGCTGGAAATTAAATATTTTTTGATGTAGAAAACAAATCGCAAAATCTATTGTACTCGGTTAAGTAGGAAAATGTAACTAGGTTTATGGTTATTATAAAAATTGTAATTATCTAAAAAATATCCGTACACAAAAAGGTAGAATATCTATTGATTTTTTTATATTTGTTATCATATTTGATGAATATTATTATATTATAGTAAAAGTATGTAAAGAAGTATTTAAAAATTAGTATGACAGTTAAGTATAATTATTCTATTAATTTTCTAAAATTAATATGAATGAACTTGTAAGATCATCATTAATTTTTTATTTAAATTATTCATGCTTGCACGAATTCATTATAAAGTTTAAAAAAATAAACATGCCAAGGCACATGCAAGACGCTAGTTCAAATTAATGTTGTACACGTATAGGAGTCACAAAATCGGTTTGGTGCACTAGCAAACAGAAGGGGACATCCAAAGTATTGGGACAAGTTTTACATTAAAGGGGGAGATTTGTAAAGCAATTGAGCGAAAACAAATGAGGTTGAAGAAAATTTTATATCATTTGCAATACATTCATAAAAGCTATGACACATTCGTTAAAATAAGAAATATTTATTAATTTGGTGCAATGTAATAGCAAACCAAGGAAAAAAAATATGAATGATCCGTAAGAGGGAAAGATGTCATTTGACTTAAAATAAAAGTGTGATTGGATAGAGGTTTAGTTGAACAAAAAAATTAGATTAATGTCATAGCACTTTTTGTTGCTTGATATAATATATATGAGATAAAATGATGGCTGATAAAATTAAAAAAATGATTCAGGTAAATATAAATATTTTTTTTCATATATTTGTGTAATGATGACAATGACAGGGTGAAAACAGTGCATGCAAAGAATAATAATAATGATAACTCTTGTGAGATGGATAGCAATTGCAAGTTGCACACCTTAGATTGAAAGATAATAAATAGGACGATAAAAAGGGAGAAGAGAAAATTGTGAAAATAACCACGAAAGGGAGACTATTTAGGTTTTCTCACGAGAAGGTTAATCAGAGGGGGAGGTGAAGAGAAGGGGAGATTGATTGATTGTAAAGCAAATTAAGAAAGTAGGTAGGAGGCAATCTTCTGATTGAGAGAAATTGTTAGAAACCTCAAGGGAGGTTTATGAAATTATCCTAAATAATTGATTTTCTAAAAATTTTAAAGGAGAAATATCTAAAAGTATCAGGTTCACATGCAAAGCATGTGCTCCCATTACTAGTGAGATAAAAAGGTATGATCGGAAAATGTGATCATAGAAAACGTAAAAACTTTAATCCAGATAAATATTTATACAATCACTAATTAGTTATTGCTATTATTATTGCTACTTTTTATACTGTTATAGATATAAGAGGATTTACTTATATTGGCCTTCGAAGTCTTATAGGCATGGAAATGTAGAAATGCTTTTCTTGTAACATATCGCTGAGCTATCAAGGAAAATATTTCAAGCCAAGATGTGTAAGATCGATGTCACATTGCTGCTTCGTGGAACAATATGCACAAGTACTAGTTCGCACGAAAGCAATTTTGCAAGTAGACACCATGTAAAATGTCAGTTTGATGGACTAAGGTTGACCTTATATGTTCCCATTTAATTCTTGTAAAATTGATTGCCATAATTTTATCTTTCCAACGATCCCGTCCACCAACTGGGATCCTTTTTTGAATACAAAATTGTGCCTTAGCAATTCAGTTTTCTAAATTGCTCTCTGATTAACATAAAGTAGAAGGGCTCAAGCTGATTGATTCTTGTGCTCTGAGTCCTGTCCTGAGCTTTACAGATACTAGGAGCAATGGACAAGTATCATCGGACACAACCTGTAGTCAACTGCAGAACACTGAGAAAAAATATGTTGCCTGTTATAGAGCTAAGATACAACTTCAAGAAGGATGCAAGCATCTATCAGGGTTCAGCTAATCCACGTTTTCCTGCTACAAAATACTGCTAGTTTGAACGATGAGCAGTATGGAAGATATGGCAAATTGAGTTCCAAAAGAAGTAAAATAGCACCTCATTTAACATATCTACAAATTGCTGAATCGGTTGGACAGTTTAACAACACCAGACAGACAAGGAACTCAATCCCGGATGTTTTCATCTGATCTGACTGAAACAGGGTCTGGTTCAGCAAGGGATCATAGGACTTCATTACAAATGATAGTAAGAGCGAGTTATCAAGGTTAATGTTGATCTTTGAGTGTAAAATCACTGCAAAACACAAAAACTCAAACTTAAGAAACTCGAGACAGCATGCAGTCAAGAATAAAGCCAGCACATAGTTGCATGACATTTTTGTTGTATTTGAAACACTAAAATAAGAACTTACCATGAAGAGAGAAGCAACCAACAAGTATAGAAGGTGGGGTGAGCTTAATAGCCTTCATCACAGCAGATGAAATAATTGCAGCAAGTAGCAGCAGCCAACAAGTACGCTTCAAAACTTGCAGCTTAGTCTTGATTGTGTCAGAAGATGCTATAACAAGTCTGTGCAGCTTCACTGCATGAGCAGTACATCTTCCGTGGCTGCTCCCAAAAACATTGTCATTATGAGAAGATTTCTCAAGTTTTGGTTGTAATATGTTCAGATTCAAAGTAGTTAAAAGTCAAATTTGAGTAGTAAAAGAAGAGTAGTATATCTGAACTTACCGGACTCTTAGAACCAAACACCAATTTGATGACCAACAGCTCTGAAAAGTCCTGAAATCTTTACTCCTAGAAAATCATAACCAAGGAAAAGCGAGACACAAACCCATCATCTACGAGACTTATCGAACAAATCACTAATCAAATGGTTCAAGAAGCTTGATATATGCGCCTTCAAGAGGTGATTAAACTCTGGAGCAACTATTTACTCCCTCTAGAATCAAGAGTTAGGGAGCTGATCACTTTAGCAATCACATCTTACATCCACAAAAGTAGATATATAAAATCAACAAAACGAAACTCCTAGTGCGTATTTCATATTGATGGGTAAATTGTAGGAAATGCAAACCAAAAATTAATTAATACCAGCTATAAAAATCTAATCTAGTTTCATCTAGGGGAGAGAACACAAAAATCTGCTTGTTAAGTGCAGGAGAAAGACGTGCAGTAGAGAATTGCTGGTTTTAAGTCTCGTAGAAAAGGTTTCTAGAATTGCTGCATGTGATATCGAATCTAAAACGTCCAATGCATTTTCAACAGGTGAAACTTCAGAGTGAGCAACCATTTCATCCTGGTGAAATCACGAGTTTAAAGAGAGTGTGCTGATGTTAGCAAACACAACGTACAAAGGACAGTAACTGCCATTAGTGCATTTCATCCAAAACATGATTCAGTTCACCCAAGAAAATCTCATTCATTTGCCATGTTTGATCTAGTACAGAAACATGGTATTGAATTAAGCCTCCATTTGCCATGTTTGATCTTTGTATCAGCAAATAATATGTGATAGAACGTGAGCAATACCAATTTAACATTAGAAATTAACCAAAAAGACTGTTTAGTTCCATTAATTGATATGGAGCCGTGCATGGCTTACTAGTGGAAAAGGTTACGAAATATTGTGCTTATTCATGATGAAGAGATTGAAATGACTGACTCTGTATCCAACTTGGCAGACCTAATCTGTTGTTGCTTCAATTATCAGTTGATATACTTTCAAGGAAAGAGAGGATTTTCAAAAGTGAAGGCGGTAATTAGGAGTCATCAGGGTTCCCGACTGAGCTTTAAGCCTACAGTCACTGCAAAACAGAAAACTCAAGACTCAGGACTTCACATAGCAAATCATGAGGCTAACTGGAAATTGCATGACATTTTTGTTTAGTCAATTATTCAGAAAGCCAAATCAATATTTGTTTCTGTTGTGCTTTTCTAACCTAAATCAGTAAGAAGATATCAAATCTTTCTGCTCAATCTACAAGTACCAGAAGTGCCATAGAAACTATTAGTTTTTGTTCAAAACACTGAAAAATGAGAAGTTCTATAACAATAATGATAATAAGCAGCACCCACAAGCATGAAAGGTAGAGAGCTCTAGAATTGCCATGAAGGTGAACTCTTTGAGACAGCAAGATGCAACGAGTAGAGCTAATTACAACTCTTTGACTCTTAAAATCTCAAATCATGGCATTTGAACTTAAACTTTAGAAGAGGATAGTCTACCAAGTCTCTGCTGCTTGAAAAAGTCTTAAACATGATAATTTTTTAAAGGTTTTAATTAGTGCATTGGATATTAAACTTCTTAAAACCCAATATTAAGCAGAGGAAGAAGATTATTGGTATTATAGTCAGAGTCAGAGTCATCGATGAGGTTCCATGTTTAGCTTTGTGCCTAAAACCACTGCAAAGCACAAAAACTCAAACTCAAGATGGCGCTCAGGATAGAATAAAACGAATGGAAATTTTCAGATAATTGCAGGTTTTCTGTCATTGTAACTAAAGCCCCAAAAGGAGAACTTACCATAAAAAAAGAGGCAACCAACAATCATAATAGCAGAGAGAGCTTAAAAGCCTTTATCAAGGTGGATTCATTAACAGTAGCAAGTCGCAACAAGCAGGCTTGACCAACTACCGGAATGCTTCAAAACATTCCGCCTAGAGTTGTTCAGTTGGAAGATACTCCACCAAGTTTTGTGCAACTTCATTGCTCAAATAGTACACACCTTCCTCGGCTACCTCAAAAATATCTTTGTGACAACAAGATTTCTTTTGTTTTATATGTAATATATTAGATATTAAAGTGGTAAAAAGTAAAAATTGAGTAGTGAAAGAAGAGAAGCATATCTAAAATTACCAGAAATTTTGAACCAAAACATGAAAGTAATGACCAACACCTGCGAAAACGCCTCAATTGACCATTGTCTTCATGGCTCAAAAGCCAAAATCAAGGAAAAGTGACCAGAAAAACATCATATATGACTCTGATAGAGTATGCAAGTTCATTATCAAGAGGTAAAAGTTCAGTCCCCTTAGAATCACAATTTTAAACAGTCAGATGACTTTAGCAATAATAACTTCAAATCTACAGAAGCAGAGCACGTAAATAGACTGCTAGTTGTTGTAAACGTTGAGGAAATGCAGGCCAAAAGTTATTGAGGTCTAGCCATATAGATGGTGCTGAAGAAGCTTCAAAATTCTAACCTCTGTTCATGAAGCTATTCTTCTATCAATCCTACAAAAACAAAGCATAGAACAGAATATGAACAGAGATACAGTAAAACATCAAAGCACGAAACAGGATAGGTGCTTGGGGTCATTCTAATTGATAGTTACAAGAGTATTACTATTATGTTGTAAGGAGTAAATGAGGAGGACGATAAAGAAATGCTAATGCCGCAGCTTTGAAAGATAATAAATAGGACGATAAAAAGGGAGAAGAGAAAATTGTGAAAATAACCATGGAGACTTTTTAGGTTTTCTCACGAGAAGGTTAATCAGAGGGGGAGGTGAAGAGAAGGGGAGATTGATTGTAAAGCAAATTAAGAAAGAGGTTATTGAAGGCAATCTTACATGATTGAATTTGATCCAAAGATGAAAGTTGGTTATTAATCAACTTATGCATAGGTCTTGAATGTGAGAAACTTTGGACCACTGGGAGTCGGGGCCGCTGCTCTCAGGAGTGCATCTTTCTTTTAACAGAGGAGAACCATAAACCTCCAGACGTTTTAGTTTGGTGAGACTTCTCATGGCATCCTCAGAGGGTAGATGTCCAAGCTCCGTGAAATGCCGTAAATGCGGGAATTCAAGAGCAGCGAAGTTTCCGAACCAATCTGGCAGAGCTTTTATACCTCCAAAGTCGCGTAGCCATAGTGACGTCAGAGTGGTCAAGTATTGGATCCGATGTGGCAGGGACTCCATGTGTGGCAACCCAATTAATGCTAATTCATGGAGTGTGGATGACGAAGAGGAGGAGGAGGATATCAATCCAGACCAATCAAACTCATTGTAAATTGAAGAATTTTCATGATCATCACCATCATCTGAGAAGGGACCAATTACAAGCTCCCTTAAGCTGGTTAGGAAACCAAATCCTCTGGGCGTCATGCTTGTTTTCAGTTTGGAACACCTGTATAATTCCAGCTCCAAGAGAGAAGGCGTTTGTTGCAAATCAAGCGGAAAGGAGATAAGATTGCGGCAACCAATCACCCGAAGCTTCTGGAGAGAGGCACAAGAGTGCAGTATGTCACCTGGCAGATTCGTCAACCCATCGCAAGCATAAATCTCCAGCTGCTTAAGAGACGCAAAGTTTTGCAGGGGAAGGAGTTCTCTGCATCTGTTGCAGAAATTAAATGCCAAACGTGCTAACTTGGGGGGTGTTGTTGCTGACTTGGGGAGTGTTGTCGTCGTTGGCAAATCCATTAACCATGAGGAAATTGATCGCCCATAAAATTCCAAATTACCAACTCCTCCAAATTTGGGTGGGGTCGAAGGCCATCTAACACATCTTCGTCATTGTAGTCGTCGCCTTCTCGTTCACAGGCCCACTGAAGTACCAGGCCAAATAGATTTGCCTTTTCAGATAGTTTTGCTTCCTCAGCTCCTTCCTTACCCTTTACTAGTTCCAGATTGCGTATCTCCAATTTGCCTTTGAGGTTCTTCAAGCTTCCAAGCTCTTCAATTTGTCGACCCTTCTCTCGACCCACATTAAAGAACTCTAGCGTCTGAAGGCAAGTAAGTCGTCCCATCTCTAGCGGCATTTGAAAGTCATTATCACTTATGTCATAGTGGAGATGTCTCAAGCTAATCAAATCGCGTATCCCCTTCGGAAGATCTTTAACTTTTGAGTAACTTAGCGTCAATGTCTGCAGATTATAAAGCTTGCAAAGGGAGTCCGGCAAAATGCCGATTGCAGACCGCTTAAGGTTAACATACCGCAAATGTATTAGTTTGCCAATTGAGACTGGAAGCTCTTCAGTTGTTGTATAAGACAAATTCAAAACATACAAGTTCTTCAACTTCATTAACATATCGCCAGATAAGTCAACATTTACAAACAATGTATGAAGCGAAGTTGATAGACTCTCCAAAAGTTTATCTCTGTCTTCTCCACCACCAAATGAGTCTATTGCAAGGTAACGAATCTGATCACCATTGTCTACTATACATGTATCCCTATCATTAATGACTTTGGTAGACTTTGACATTGACTCTGAAAGGTCATGCACTAGATCATGCATCTGATAACATGTTTTTGACGGATAATCTGATTCATCAATTATTTCTTCAAACAATGAACTCTGCAATAAAATTCTCAAATAATTCATACCAATTTCCTCCATCATCGTTTGGCTTTTGACATCTGTTTGAAGGAAACCTTCTCCCATCCAAAGTTCGATAAGCATATTCCTTTCTATCTTACTATCCTTAGGAAATATACAACAATATGCAAAACATTTCTTAATGTATGGAGATGGCAAATTATCAAAACTCAACTTAAGTATTTGCATCACGTGATCTCCACCTGCACTCAAACTCAAAAGCCTATTCTCCAAAATTGATCGCCACTCCTTTTTTCTCTTTAAACGTAACAGACCTCCTATTACACTTGCAGCCAATGGTAGACCATCACATCTTTTGATTACTCTCTCCTTAATTGCTTGTAGTTCATCAGGTACTTCTCCCCCTCCAACCAGGGGCGGAGCCAGAAAAAAATTTTAGTGGGGGCAAAAATAACATCAAAATTTTTTATCTACTCTTTTTCTAATTTTTTAAGCAAAAAAATAATAAATTCACCAACAAGTATAAATGGGGGAAGAAAGAAGAGCCGTCGGTTGTGAAGGGAAAATGGGGACCAGAGGAGGAAAGGGAATTGGGGAGTGGGGACCAAAAGAAAAGACTGATATAATTGATACTTGGCTCTGTTGGGGGAAAAAATGGGAGACCAGGGGAGGAAAGTGAATGATATAAAATTTGTGATCTATTTTTTCACATTTGTTCTAAAAAAACTCTGGGGGCACCTTTACGATTATATCAAAATTGTATAACTATTATACAAATTTGAGGGGAGGCAGTGGGGGCCCATGCCCCCAGTGCCCCCACCTTAAATCCGCCCCTGCCTCCAACTACTTTTTCTTTTAGGATAGACCAACAATGATCATCAGGTAGCCTTCCTAAGGCATAGGCTTCATCATCCATCATCAAAGCTCCAGACACAATATCTGCCACCTGACCAATACGAGTAGTGACAAGACACTAGCTTCCATTGGTTGGATTGAGTCCCCTCAAGGTGGTGAAAAAGTCATCCCACAATGCCTGATCATCATCCCACACATCATCAAGAACTAGGAAATATCTTTTTCCCCCAAGTTGATTCCCAATTTTTCCAACGATGACATTCCTATCTTCCACTTCAACCTTTTCTTCCACTTCAACCTTTTTTTCCGTCAATTGCAATAAAATGAGTTTGAAAAGATCCAGTATCGGAGCTTTTTTTGATACACAAACCCAAATTTTTTTGTTAAAGTGCTCATCAATTTGCTTGTTGTTGTATATCGATTTAGCCAAAGTTGTTTTGCCTAGACCTCTCATACCAGTTATGGGAAGACCAGAAAGAACCTTCTCAGATGGGCTCAACAGCATCTTCACTATCTTTGATTCATCATCGGCTCTTCCAATCATTGGAGCAACAACAGAGTCGGTCTGCCGATTTCTTTTGTCTCCAGCATCAGCAGCAGCAGGGAGGGCAGCTGCCATGACTGCTCTCTCGAACAGTCCCAAATCACTGGCTCCTTGGTTGATCTCATTCAGCTTAAGTTTGATGCCCCTGACCTTAGAAGCCATTCTCCAACGGAAAGCAAGATTAGTGTTAGAGAAGGAGAAGAAGCAGCATACCTTTCGCTTGTGCTGGTTCCGGGACTCCACCTTGCAACCAAGAGATTCGTAGTTGAGCTCATCCAACACGTTGTCAGCATCATAAGCAACCTCCTCGAGACTCTTCAGCCATTCTTGCACTCCCCGGTCCTGGTTTTGTTGCCTTTCCTCAGCATCAGCCAAGAGAGCATTGATAAAGCGAAGAGATCGAGTCATGCTGGCCACATCCTTCTTGAACCCAACTAACATACCAATCCTGTCAGTGGCAAGAGATACTGCCGTCTCCAAGGCAACCTGAATAGTGGCACTAATGACGGGGTCGGCCATTTTCCTGTCCTTGTATGGGGCTTAATTGCTAGGATGCTTTGTTGATATCAGATTGGTGATTTCCTTGTATGTATGTAGCTTGCTAGGATGCTTTTTCCTATCAGATAATAAAGATGGGGATGGACAAAAGGGTAGAGGCTTTCATCAAAGTTTTGGTGAGAACCGATTTATTTATTTATTTTTCAAATTTAGAATGGGATCGTGGGTTCCCGGTGGTATGAACGGAAGTATGGTGGAGCCACTAAGAGAGTTATGTAATTTAATCCAATTTATAAAGGGAGCCACATGCTTCTTCCTCGGTTTTAGTTAATTACATTGTTGCAGCTAGTGCTTCAGTTCACGCTAATGCCAGGCCAGGCCCTTGGGTTGCTGAAAATATGTCTAATCCTTGATTTTATTTATTTTTTTAAAAAAGAAATCCTGGAAAAAATCGTGGAAGGCACATGCAGTACAAGTTACAACTAACATTTCCATCTAAAATATTACTAACAATAAAACTACTAGAAAAGTAGTACATAGAACTGGATGGGACGCGTTTGCGTCTCAATTGTTATTATATTACTACTAGAAAAACTTTGAAGAATCTCAATTATTGCACCTGCACCAACAACAAGTGTGTCAAGAAAAAAAAAATCTAAAGAAATGATCCAATGAGGTTTCACGATCTGCCATTTTTGTTCCTTTGAAACGATAAGAGTGAGTCTTCTCTAATATTAGCTCGATTTTAAATATTTTTAATAATTATTATTGCATGCTTTTCTCTAATTTTTTTTCATTTATTAAAGTGAAATGTTCAATTTATCTATTTTAAAATACAGATAATTTCACAATCTTCCCCTGAGAATTTTGACAATTTTATTGAGCTTCTTCAAAGTTTTTATGACTTACACTTACCTAGAGCTGTTAAACGAACCGAGCTGTTCTGTAGCTCGGTTCGTTTCGAATCATTCGTGTTCGTGAAAGGCTCGTTCGAAACCTTAAACGAACCGAGTTCGAACGAATTTTTTTGTTCAATTAATAATCGAGCGAACACGAGCATGTTCGCGAACATGAACATAATTATCATTTGACAAATTTTAGGGTTAATTTTATAGCTGGACTTTTATATTTGGAGGGCAAATTACTTTGTTTTATTTGTTGTTTTTATGTTAATGTTAGTTATATAGTTAATAAATAATAGAATTTAGTCACTTAGTGCTTTAATTGTTTTTGAGAATGAGTAATGATTTGCATGGCATATTTAAGGCTTAAAATAATTTGGATTCGAGCATTTCGATCATGTTCGCGAATGGCTCGTTTATGTTATACGAGTTGAATACGAACTCGAACTCGAACACGAATTTTGCTTAACGATCTGAACACGAACACAGGTTTGGAGTTCGAAAATTAACGAACGAATACGAACGTTGTTCGAATCGCTTAACGAACAGAGTTCAAACATGAGATACTCGGTTCGATTCGGTTCGTTTATAACTCTACACTTACCTCCTTTATCCATATAAAAGGACAATACCAATGTTAACATTTTAATAAAACTCCCGTATTGGGTGTGCATATACAAAGAATGGGATTTGTAATTATTTTTTGTTTTCTTTTTCCTTTTCTCTTCTTATTCCTTCTTTTTATATTTTTGCTAGCGAAACCATAGGAAAATATAATCACCGACTCTAAATGTTGAATTAGTGACTTTTTTTTTAACAACTTTGAATGCCATCCAATTTTTATTTGTAAAAAAAGAAATGGTCAAAACTACTTGTACCAAAATGTGGTAATTCCATCAATCTAAAAATTCACAAACCTTAAAAGAGTATGACGACAATAATTTCATCTCCAATTTAGAAAGAAAATGTATCCCCTGTAAAGTACCTTGAAAAGCATTCTATCATAAGGATTTGGTATTGAAAACTTGACACTCTTTTCTTATATTTGTGCTAAGAATTGCTTTGCAAAGTAATTAAAGTTTATAATCTAAGGGTATTTGTTGACAAAATTTAAACCAAGCTATTTATAAGTTTATATAGTAGTTTTAGAACTAGATTTAGTAGATAGTAACTAGATTAAAATTGGTATCAAACTTGGTTTAGAAAATAGAATTGAGCTATATTTGGGTATTAGAGTTAGAATAGATTTAGTAATATATGTATCTATATGAGAACTTGGAGGAGTCGTACATTTATAATTGGGGAAAATTAGCATCAAGAGAATAAAATTCTAAATCCTCCCTGCCTACTTGTTCGTTCGTTATTTATACTTCTTTGTTCATACTTGAGATTTTGTCCATTGTTTTTTTTTTTTTAGTTGCTAACATTATTGACAGTTTGAAGGCCCATATTCACAGCAACAAATCACAAGCTTAGGCCAGCGGAGACAGAGAGTGTCAAAGGAGATTGCCATGATGTATTATTTCAACAAGGAATCCAAGGATTTTCAAATGTAAAAAAATACTGGAAAAAATGGTATGTACAAGTACAACTGGCATTTCCACCCAGAATATAGAAGTGGATGGCTCAACTCTCAATGCTGCGACGTTGCTTGATCTCAATGCCGATTTATTTATTTATTAAATTAAGAATGGGACCGTGGGTTGCAGGTGGTATTAACTGAAGTAAGGATGAAGCCACATGCATGCTTCTTCCTCGAATTTTACAGCTTATTGACAGATTGAAGGCCCATACATATTCCAGCCACGAATCACAAGCTTAGGCCAGCAGAGACAGAGAGAATCGAAGGAGATCGTCGTCATGATTCATTGCAACAAGGATTTTCAAATGTAAAGGCAGTAAGTAGGAGTCAACAATGTTTCCCATTGAGCTTTAAACCAAATGTCTATGCAATACAAAACCACTCACAACTCAGGACACCATAGAGCAAATGATAAGGCTAACTGGAAAATGACATGACATTTTTGTTCAGTCAATCAATTATTCACAAAGATAAATCAATAGTCGTTGTTCTTGTGCTTTTCTATCCTGGGATTAGTAAGCAGATACCGATTCTTTCTACTCAGACTGACTAGAGAGAAAAACTGGACGAAGATGGAGGAGGACAAAAGAAAAGGGTTGAGGTTTTGGTCAAAGCTTCTTTTTTTCCCCACCTTACTTGGTGTGAATTATGAAGCCACTTGCTTAATTATTCACAAAGCTAAATCAATAGTTTTCTCTTGGATATTAAGAAAGACATGTTGCTACATAAACAATTTTTTTTTTTTTACTTGGATATGAATTATGAAGCCACATGCATGCTTCTTCCTCGAATCTTGCTTGGTTTTAGTTAATTATGATTACAAAGACTACTTAGTTTACGGTAATGCTGGGGCCTTGGGATGCTCAAAAAGTCTAATCCTTGGTATTTAAAAAAATGCTGAAAAAAAGGTAGGTACAGAAAAACTGGCATTTCCGCCTAAAATATTAGCAATAACAATAGTAGAAAAATTATAGAAGTGGATGGCTCGGGTTTGAGTTCCCAAGCTCTCAATTGCTATATTAGGGCGGCTTTGCTTTCTCAATTATTGCACCTAAAACACCAACAAGTGCGTGCAGAAAACATCTAAAGAAATTGTTGCATCTGCTGCAAGAAGAGGTTTTCTTCAGCGTAGAAGAAGAGTGCGCTTCTTTTGACAAACTTGAATGCATTTTCCACCAAAACTGATTGGCGTTTTACTAGAATGTTTCTAAATCAATGCTGGATTTTTATTTTTTTTGTTCTTTATTACCTTTTTTTTTTTGGAAAAATCATTTAACATGTACCTTACATTTCGTTAGATAAATTATTTAAAATATTGATTTTAGGTTTCTTACAAAATCAAGGCAGCTAAATTTAGTCCCAACTTAAATTTTTTATCACTAAGTACACGAAGTGATCCACGTGCGGTCATTGTTTTAGGTGCAAAATCTATATTTTTTCCAAAACTAAAAGAAACTTCAAAAAACTGGAAAAATATTAATAAGGGGGATTGAGATGTAAGAAACATTTAAGAATCGAAAGTTTAAAAGTTAGGACCTTAATTCTGATAGTCTCGACTTTAACTAATTGATCAAGCCCTTTTCCCCACATAGAGGCTATCATTTCTAGGCATTAATGTGATTTCATTAAATTTTTCTTAAACATTTTATACATTCATCTTGGGGAGCAAAGTGCATATATGTTAAGTTCAAATGGATAAAGTATTACTTATGTCTCACTCCCAAGGCCGAGATGTCATCAAAGTGTAATGAACCCTTGAATTCATTCATCATTTCTCTTTATTCACAACAAGAAGTCACAAGCTTTGGCCAGTTGAGACAGAAAATTAAAAAACAGTGTCGTGATGTGGTTCAGCTAAGATCAAATGAATTTCAAAAGTTAAGGCAGTCGTTAGGGGCCAACAAGGTTTCCCATTGAACTTTTTAAGCCAAAAGTCACTGCAAAACAGAACCCTCAAACTAAGGACACCATATATAGCAAACCATAAAGCTAACTGGAAATTGCATGACACTGTTTAGTCAATTGTTCAGAAAGCTGAATCAATATCCATCACGAACCAATGCTCAATTTGTTAATCTTGAATGTTGCTTGGTCTAGTAAATTAATATTAATATTCCAGCGAGTACTTAATTTCGGCTAATGCTGGAGGGGTGGAGGGGCTGGGGTTGTTTAAAAGGTCTACTCCTTGATATTTAAAAAATACTGGAAAAAATGGTGGGTACAGCTAACATTTCCAGCTAAAATATTAACAACAATACTAGCAGGAGAAAATATACATAGAAATGGATGGGTCATGTTATATTAGGGCAGCTTGGCCATCTCAATTATTAGCACTGCACCAACAAGTGTATACATAGAAATCCTAAATAAATTATCCAATGAGGCTTTCTCAGCTTAGAAAAAGAGCACTGCTTCTTTGGGCAAACTTGCAAATGCATTTTCCACCAAAGTTCCTTGGCGTTTCACTTGAAAGTTTCTAAGTCAGAGCTGGGTTTTTCTTCTGTTTCTTTTTTTTTTTGATAGAGCGGTTATTTGGCACATTTTGCACTGTTATTTTGTCCTAATTTTGGCTACTTACTGTGCTAAGTATTGGGGTTTAACTCATATTTCATATTTGTATGAATTATAGATGATTGGCGTTAAAAATAATCCCTTGAGGCAAATTTCCAGAAGACCCTTTATCTCAGGATGTGCCCACGCCAGAAAAGGTAGATGTTACCGAAAAGCCGGATCCGCGGGACCAACAGCAGGAGACCCAATTAAAGAACCCGGTCTACGTGGACCAGATGCGTGAGATCAGAGCCCTTGGACAAAAAGCCTTGTTCCTAATGCT